TCAAAGCTTAATTTAAACCGAGACAAGATGATCTTTTCATAAGCTGAGCTCAAATAACACATAAGAAGCTCGACTCGTGGCCACCCCTACCTGCCCCAAGCAAACATGAAAGTCTTAGCGTGGAATGGTCAAGGTGGTGGGAATTCCTCGACAATTCGACATCTTCAAAAGCTCCTTGCTGATTATAATGGATTTGGAATTCGAAGCTTGTGCGTTGTTGGAAGGTGTTTAATTCTGTCTGGAGATTGGGCTTTACTCAGTTTATTTTGAGGGGGATGTTTAGGCTGTGATTTAGGCTCTGTTGGAGACGTCGTCTCCTCTTCCTTGGCAGTTTGGCGTATTCAACATATGATCGCCAATTGCAAAGCTCTTCTTCATAGTTTCCCTCTCGATTCAGTGAGTTTTGTTCCTAAGAGCGCTAATCTGGTAAGCCATAACTTGGCTAATTTTGGTTTTAGATGTTTTTAGGTTTAACACCTATCAGTGTGTCCTAGACTCCTAGTCTCTTTGATGTCGATTGTTCTCTGAGCTCCTGTTTATGAAATAGCCTTCTCAGGCTTAAAAAAAATAGCGGGTATTTGATGACATGCATTTGATTGCCAAGGCTTTTTTAGACCTAAGGGTAAAGGTATGTGCAATATTTTAGAAACCGTCCCAAGATCGGAACCGTTTTGGTTATGGGTCAGCAATTCGATTATCTGGTATGAACGGATGGTCTATTGCAATTTAAAGAAGAATAAAAAATTAAAATAAAAACAGCCAATAACCATTGTTCAGGTTAAATGGGCCAACGGTTCAATTGCCTGACTAAGCGGCTCACCAATGGCTATGTGAATAACGCCAGAGACGATGATCATTCTAATGAATAAATGCAACATCTCGGATCAGTTACTGCAATGATTAGAGGTGACATGAATGTTTTAATTGTGTTAAACCTTTTTTCAGAGGTTTTGGCTTCGTTTGGATCAGGTGTAAAACGTCATTAGTGTAAAAGTACACTGGTGACATTTTACACTGAATTGTATAATAGGTGACTGTTGCATTTTGAAAACTATGATAAAAATGTGAAAAGTTTTATATCGATAAAATCGATGTGGTATTTGCATCGATAATCGATGTAAAACTTTATGCTTGATGAGGTTTTACATTGATTCACGATGTAAAACTTCATTCAAACGCCAATAAATCTAAACCGGGTGAAATTTTATATTGATTTTCATTTACACTCTTTCCAAACGCCAACAAAACTGAATCAGTGTAAATTTTTACATCGTTTTTAATTTACACCGATTCCAAATGCATCCTTTAGGTTTGAGAGTACTACTAATAGTATGACTGGCATTGAATCTATTGAAAAGGTTGGCTTTTACTGATAGTGTAAGATTTGGAGATGGGTTTATTGGCAAATTGAGTGTTTCATTGTGCTTTATATACTAGGGCAGTTAATAGAGGAATGATTATTTTTGCTGATTTGCCTTATTATCAATTACATGCTTTTACACTCCACAAAGCCTCCTCGTCGTCAAAATACTCTGACCATCAGAAAAGATTTTCACCGGAGAAGGAACATGAACTACCGTCGGTAGGAGATATAATAGAATGGCAACTTTATAATTTGCAAGCCTCACTCCCTCCACAATTGGTAACTGAAATTTCAATACTGGTTGTGGAAAGTGTGAAAAGAAATTCTCATGCCAATAAGGAAAAAGGAAGGTGACTTCGCTAATCACGCTGCTGATTAGTCGCTCTCTAAGTTTATGGAGTCATCAGTTATTAGAAAAAACCTGGCCAACACATTACAAGTTGATATGGTTTCCATTAATAAAGGCAATCATGAGAGGGAGTGCATCTTGTCCAGTATTGGGCCCATAAAAAAGCTCATATTGATCCAAGTGATGACAATCTCCATGGGCCAAGCAATTTTAACGGAGGAGGTAAACACTGCCCACATCTGTTTAGTACAGAGCGGTGAAAATAGCGAGTATGCTAAAGATTTTAGGCCCACTGGGTTGAGCAATGTTCTATATAAAATTGTGGCAAAAATTATTACTAAAAGGTTAAAACTTGTGATGACCAAACTAATATCCCCTTTTTTATAGCACTTAATTGCATTTCAACAACTTAATTGGTAGTATTAGGTGGCATTTGGTAAGTTTTTTGTGCGGTCTTCTAGACTTTGGTAAGTTCAAAAGAATGAAAATTGGTCTTTTCCCGTTCGATAACCAAAAGTTAGAAAGATGAGAAGACACATGCACGAAAAGACCTAGAAAGACCGAAAATGCCAAATTTTGAGAAGTTTCAAATGAAGCTTTCTGATCTTTCTGAATGATATATAGCCTTGAAACATGTTTTTAAAAACCCGGTAGACCAAGCCACTTACTAAACGGTCTTTGTTTTTAAAGACAAAACCCGAAAAACTTAATACGTCTTTTGGTCATCTAGGCTATTAGAATATCTTTCTAAAAAGATTTTCCAAATGGCACCTTAGTTAGTGGACAACCCAGGGCCAGTTTTAGAAATAAATAATTATTTATTTTTTAATTAAAAATAATCTTTATTATTAGTACTATTATTGTTATTTAAAATAATAATACTAATAATAAAATATTATAATTATTATTAATATTTATTAAGTAATAATGAAATTATTATTATTACTACTACTACTACTACTATTATTATTATTATTGTTGTTGTTGTTGTTGTTTTTGTTGTGATTGTTATTAAATAGATGACAATAATGAGGGCATTAATGTCATTTTATCATATCTGAAATGCGTCTTATTTTGTAAGACATGAAACTGGGTCTTACCAATTCAAATATGAATTTATGTTTCAGATCCTCTAATCAAACTTAAGCTTAAACACCACGAGTATCTAAAAAGTAAAGTAGTGTTATCAAACACCACCTTAGCATTTATTTTTCCTTTACCAATTTGCAAGATTGGTGTGGTTTGGCTCAAACCTATGCAATAGAACTGAAGCCCATCCCCATTGTGATTTACATGGGTGGTTGGTTGACTAGCTGAACAGTAACAGTGATAATATTATTGATGTTATCATTGGATTGGGAAGTGTTTCACTATCTTGTGATATATTTGTTTGGCCAGGGATAACATGGTCTTCAAAAACTCCCTGTGGTCTCGGAAATATACTGTTAATACTTGGGCCCATTACATCAGGTCAACTGTAAACCATGCCATGAAGATTTCTCAACCACCCTAGATCCATGGTTTGAGCTCTCAAGTAATTAAAGTGGATAAAGCCACTAATGATCTTCCTTATATTGCGTTTATTTTTGGTATAAATGTGAATCGACGTAAAATTTCATCATTGATTTACATTTGCACACGTTTGTTTTCAATATAAATACAGACCGGTGTAACATTCCACTCCTGGTTTGTATTTTCATGCATTTGTTTTTAGTATAATGTTTACATCGAAAATCAATGTATTATTTACATCGATTTTAATTCCATCGGTTGAGTTTTACATGAATGAATTTTCCATCAAAAACAAACATAACCTTAAGGTAAATTTTGATGGTGAAACCTCTAGGACAAAGCCAGGACTTGGTATTGTGATTCGTGATGAGATGGGGTCAATTTTTCCCTCGTACAATCCCAATGGAATCTCAACCAGCTGCTGTTACTGAAGCTTTGGCTCTCTTGGAGAGCCTTATGTTTACCACTGATCTTGGACTCTCTAACGTCCTCTTTCAAGGTGATGCTGAAGTTTTAGTCAAGCTCTTGTTGGGGAGGATACTCCCAATTGACACCGCTAATTGTGATGGACTGAGGTATTCATCATTCACCATTGAATCTTACTTTTTCTAAAAGCATAAATGTTAAGGATGCCAACTGATTAATTGATAAGGTCTTTGACTGGTTGCAATGGAGACTTAAAGTTTAGTTTGGAAGGAGTATGTAGAATGAAAAACTTTATATTTAATATTATTTTGTATATATTTATAATGTACACATTTGTATTTATACTCCTTCTAAATTGGGCCTTAGGATTGAATCCTGCCTGGACCACACGGTTGAGGGGATTATGACCTTATGGGTTTGGGGGATGGGCTACGCCTGTTGTACAGCCCCATGGATAAAAAATAAAAGAGCGTTGGGAACCAAAGATCCAACGATGGAAACCAGTGGTATACAATCAACTTTTAGGACCCCCCTCATTTTCCAATGAAAGGAACACATAAGAACCTCAAGATACAAATGGACAAAGTGGATAATTTTTTATTTTTTTTTTTGTGGAGGACAATACAATAAACTTGGAAAGGACGCGGCGAAATCATATCATCAAACCACAACATGTGAGAGATGTAAATTTGCCGGGAAATTATGAACACAAAAATAATAAAATAAATAAAAACAAAACCCAGCTAGCCAGTAACCACCGTATATGCACCATGTAAGCTTTATTTAAAAGCTCTGTTCCACAAAAATTTCAAGTCCACCAGCATTTCAACTTTAATTTTTAAGTAATTATAGTGTATGTTTAAGCAAATTAACGACGATATAACTTTTGGAAGCATCTAAATTAAAGCAATCTTTTTTCATGCTTTAATATGAATTTACTCGGTTATCTCCTTATTATAGCTCCTTTTCCTTTGGGTTAAATTTGAATAATTAAAATCCATAATCTCAAGTCATAGGTAGGTAGTATTCATACAATCCGTAACACATATTTTATTATAAAGAAAAGCTGAACGATGATTACATATTCAATTATTTTCCTCCTATATCCTAGGAGAAGAAAGAGGAGCCATGCCACGTGGCATGCATTGAAGGTGGTGCCTAACGATAAGACCCTAATCCAGTTTCACTCTCCTTGTGTGGTCATGGCGAAGTGTAATCCTATCCTCTTCCACATCCAACAGCTAGCACTAGTTTACCATGTACTAGATGAATTTGTGACCATTGGATGCATGATAAAGTATGGTAAGAAAGAAGACAGTTTGCCTTGCCACTATATATTTGCAGGGTAGGAGTCGAAGCTCTCTCAAGCTTCAATTGATTAAGTAGTGTGTTTGCAAAGAAGGTAGGGAAATGGCTTCCTCCGTGCTCTCATCGGCAGCTGTTGCCACCGTGAGCCGTGCCACCCCGGCTCAGGCCAGCATGGTGGCACCTTTCAGCGGACTCAAGTCAGCARCTGCCTTCCCTGTGACCCGCAAGGCCAACAACGACATCAGCTCCCTCCCCAGCAACGGTGGCAGAGTTCAGTGCATGCAGGTGTGGCCACCACTCGGAAAGAAGAAGTTCGAGACCCTRTCTTACCTCCCACCACTCTCTCCTGAATCATTGGCAAAGGAAGTTGACTACCTCCTGCGCATGGGATGGATTCCTTGCTTGGAGTTCGAGTTGGAGGTCTGTAATTATTTTAATTTTTAATTGTAGTGGCCGGATTTGTATCTGCGTTTTCTTAATTATTAATCTGTGGTGGTGACAGTTTGGTCTGTTTGGTGTTGTGTGAATGATTGTAGCATGGATTNACTGATTAATGCAATACAAGTTGCCTTTTGTCTAATTTGTGTGCACTCTTGTTTCCTTTTGTGTGTTGTTGCTTGCATTTGTAGGCTTTCTCGACCCCAATCGAGCGCCGCACGGGGCCCCGTTGATCAGCCCCGTGACAACGTGGCAGAAGAAGAGGTGTCTAAACGTTGTGCAATAATGTCTTCACAAATGGGACTTGCGCAAGGCTGCTAGAGGATACCGAAAGCTAATAATAATAATAATAATAATAATAATAATAATAATAATAATAATAATAATAATAATAATAATAATAATTATAAATGGGGAAAGAAAAGAAGGGAAGTGAGTCTATATATAGCTGGTTGTTGGAGCCTGGAGGGCAATCCAAGCAGATAGAGCAGAGTGTAAGCAAAGGTGAGAGAGAAATGGCTTCGTCCTTGATTTCTTCAGCTGCTGTCGCCTCAACCCACCGAGATACCCCAGCTCAAGCTTGCTTGGTAGCACCATTCACTGGCCTAAAGTCCACCTCTGCATTCCCAGTTACCCGAAAGCTCAACAATGACATCACTTCACTCACCACCAATGGGGGCAGGGTCCAATGCATGCAGGTACTCTCCCTCACAGGTCCAAACAAAAGAGAATGAATTGAAGTATAAAACAAAACAAGCATAGATCAGAAATTATGTTTTGTTTGAACGTATTTGATGGAAAATTAAGGAGTTAATCACTCCAATTTGCTTTAAATGCCATGTCTTCTTCATAAGAAATTAAATGCAGCAGAGAGAGACAGAGACCGATTTATCTTCGTCGCCTTGCTCAGTTTTACTTGATGTAATTGAGTGCAGGTGTGGCCCCCAATTGGAAAGAAGAAATTTGAGACTCTCTCCTATCTGCCACCACTCTCCCCTGAATCACTGGCTAAGGAAGTTGATTACCTTCTTCGCATGGGATGGATTCCCTGCTTGGAATTCGAGTTGGAGGTCTGTCATCTTTAGTTTCTAATTAATTTTGTTTCGTTATTATAATTAATCTTATCTATACTGAGATGCCCTTTTCTACTAGCTAGATTAGATGGTTTATGTTTCGGGTTAATTATTGCTGTGTGCTTGGGTTGTAGCATGGGTTCGTGTACCGTGAGAACAACAGATCCCCTGGGTACTACGACGGGCGCTACTGGACCATGTGGAAGCTGCCCATGTTCGGCTGCACTGACTCGTCTCAGGTTTTGGCAGAGCTGGAAGAGGCCAAGAAAGCCTACCCCAACGCCTTCATCCGGATCATCGGTTTCGACAACAAGCGCCAAGTGCAGTGCATCAGTTTCATTGCCTACAAGCCTCCTAGCTTCTAAACTTTTAAGGGTCAGCCTTGGGTTGGGTGTCCTGAGAACCCTGCCTCTTCCTCTTTCAATGGAATTTCTCTATGTTTATTTGTCGACTCTACTACACATAATTATATAGGAGACAGTGTGGGCGAAATGTACATTGAAGAGCAATACATAGAATGAGCAACTACTGTCCTCTTTTTGCAAAACTAAAGTTTCTTGAATCTATCCTTCTCGACCACGTACTTTGTACTCTCTCCATTTCATTAATAATGCACAAGTGAGAATGGGTAGTAGGCGGAGTCTATAGAAGATCTCACAATTATGGAGTTATTGAAGTAGGCGGAGTCTTTTCCATTAATATAGGTGTACAATGGCCCGCCTCGTAATCGAAAGATGCAACAAAAGGCCATTCCCTCGATCCTCTTGATGCTTGATCAAATTTCAAAATTTAATTAGCCAGGAAAAATGATTTCAATTGGGTGACAGAAGTAATTAATTGTTGGACCCAAAGGAAACAAGACAAAAAATAAAAAAATAAAAAGAATTTAAGAAAATAAAACAGGCATCATATAAAAAAGAGCAATATTTCCAAGTACACTCGAGCAAACAATTAAGGTCATTTGTGCAATAATTGTTGACCGTTTGATCTGCCTGAGAATGGGGCGCACATTAGATGGGGTCCACTGACAATACCTTCAGTTCTGCTCAATTACAATTTCACCACCGCTTCTATGGGATGTCTTTTCAGCCATGACACCTCTTTTCTGCCACCGCAATTGAATTATTTAAAATTGAAGACCATGCATGAGATAACTCAATGTCATATTTTCCCTCACCTTGGTTCAATAAATCATAACAGTGGGAGATTAAGGAGGATGTAGCTAATAAAATTAGAGTAGAATGGAAAAAATGGATTGTATATTTGGAACATAAGGTTATGTTTGGTTTAATTTTCATTTTTTTTATTCTTATTTAAGATGAAATTTTAAAATAGATAAGAATGGGTAAAAATGGGTAAAATGAGAAAATATTACTATGAACCAAATGTTTTTTTTCCTAAAAAATGAATTCTTTTCAAATTAGCAAGTGCCTTACGTTGTTTATTTTCATTCTTAAAAATTGTGTTAGCATTCATTAACCACCAGCCTAGGTCTCCAAAATCATTAGCATAGATGTTTACCAGTAGGGCTATCAATTGGATTAGATCCGGTCCAATCCAATATTGGTCCATTTATAAATAGACAGAACCAAATCCATAGAACAAGTCCAATCTAATCCAAATAAAATACAAATGGACCAGATTGGGTCCAATCCAATCCAAATTGAATCAAACACCAAAATAAAATAAAAAATCCAGAAAATATATAAAATAAACTACAAACACCTACAATCCAGTCCGGTTCAATTAAAATGCAAATGGACCAGATTAGGTCCTATTCAATCCAAAGTGAATGAATAAAAGCACTTTTCTAAAAGTTCTTTCATAAAAGTACTTTTGTAAATGTACTTTCATAAAAGTATTTTGATAAAAATACTTTCATAAAAGTGCTTTCGTAAAAGTGCTTTTGTAAAAGTGCTTTTGTAAAAGTGCTTTTGTAAAATTACTTTTATAAAAGTACTTTCGTAAAAGAGTATTGTAAGTGTTTTTGTAAAAGTACTTTCGGAAAAGTGCTTCCATAAAAGTGCTTTTGTATAAGCACTTTAAGAGCTTTCATAAAAGTACTTTTATAAAAGTGATTTCGTAAAAGTACTTTTATAAAAGTGATTTCGTAAAAGTACTTTTGTAAAAGTGTTTTTGTAAAAGTACTTTTGTATAAGTGCTTTTGTAAAAGCACTTTTCATAAAATTACTTTTATAAAAGTACTTTTGTAAAAGTGCTTTCATGTAAAAAGTACTTTTATAAAAGTGCTCTTATAAAAGTACTTTGCTTTCGTAAAAGTAATTTTCATAAAATTACTTTTATAAAAGTGCTTTCGAGAAAATGTTTTCATAAAAGTGTTTTTATGCTGATGGTTTCTAACCATTGGCATTGAGTTTCTTTAAAGAATGAAAATGGGCAAGATGGGACATGATATTTTTCATGCTGTAGGCTACCCCAATTTTTGTGCTATGGATTGATTTTTCATTTTGAAAAGAATGAGGCCAATGGCAAGAATTTTGTAACAAAACACTCTAATGTTATTCATTCTTGCTCACTCTTATCCAGAATGAGTAAGAATTAAAAAAATGGGGCCCTAAGTAGCGAACCAAACATGGCCCAAAAGGAAAATATCACTTTGGCTAAATGGAAACTTTTATAAAACAATTGTAAGCCTAAATATGTTGTTTGGAATTAGAATGAGTGTGGCAAAAATATTTATGCTTGGATGGATTAGTAGTAAAACTGGGCACATAGATCATAAATGCACTAATATGAAGGAACCTAGAATTAGATCAAATAGATGATAAAATGAGAGAAAGGAGTCTAAGGTGGTTAGGTCACATGCATAGAAGACCGTTCACAACGCTGCTAGAAGAAGTGATATGTTATAAGTTAAAGGCCTAGAAGAACTAGAGGGCCAGACCAAAAAGGATTTTAGAGGAAGTAGTAAGAAATGATTTAAAATATGGCACGGAACAAAGCAAGAATGGCAAAACAAGATTCAATTAGGCAATTCCATATAGTTGGAACAAGGCTAAGATGATGATGATGATATGAAATGTGCTTTTCATCTAAAAATAAGATTCTTTTCTTTTCTTTTCTCTTCTTTTAAATTTCTTTTGCAAGGGCCATTTGGACATAAATAGGGCAAAACTTAGAATTTTTCTTAGACTAAAAAGTCATGATTTGGCTTGGTAGCTGGTTGTTTGCGCCTTTGTGTAGTTCATTCCATAATCATGGCAAAGGTTTTGTAGGACACTTTTCCCTTTTTTCTTCTCTTTCTTCTTTTGCAACACTCATAGTAGAACCAGATGAAAGCACCCTTATATGGTGGTCACAAAATTTTTTCTCGTTTGTGGTACAAATCTGAGCAGGATACAAAATTTGTACCTGGTTTAGTTTTGTATTTATTTGCACTCTTACTTAATATCTATGCTACTTTAAAAAGTACGAAAAGCCTCGAGAATATTTTTGGAATTTTGTGATGACAAAACTTATCCCTCTATATATAAATTTATTGATAAAAAATGAGGGCAAATAGAGTAATTAGTTATTGACATTAAATGAGTTGAAAAGAGTTAATTTTAAGATATTCAATGCATTCAATTATCTCTCATTAAATCCAACATTTAAGGTATTAATTTGCATTCATCTTCATTGAATCATATATTTAAGGTTTCTTTGTTTCTTCTCATCATTAAACTCTATAATTAAATACATACATAAATAAATTATCAATTTCAATAACATAAAAACTTATACTTTTAAAATCTACCTAGAAAAAAAATAGTGTTTTCATCTAAATGGTGGTAAGAAATTAAACCATTTGGGTCAAATGGGTAAATCCATGTTGCCACAATCAAATAATAAAATTCAAAAATATATAAAATGAAACAATCTAGAAATTAAAAAAAAATGGGAATGATTTTAACATCATATATATTTGACATATTAAACAATAATAAATATGATAAACAATGTTTTAAAAACCAACTCGGAGGCCAACCCACTTTTGCCTTCGGGTGATAGGTCACCAATTCGACTGTGAAGGTCAAACAAGTCAAACTGCTCTGCGTCAACACTATGTGTGTGTGTAAAAATATATATTTTATCAGTAAATAGTATAATTATGTTTTGCATATATCATAGTTATGTTTTACATATATTTTATAATTATTTTTTACATATATTACATACAATATATGTATTATGTTACATTTATTTATGTTTTTTTAATTCTATTTTAAAATTTTATTTAAAAAATATTAAAAATTGCAATTTGGGAGCCAAAAAATGAGTTTTTTTTTGTGAAAATAGCAAGGCAAGGCACATAATGCCCTTGGGACGTATATCAAAAAGTTACTAAAAATAAAAAAAAAGATAATCCCAATCAGACATCGGAGTGCAAAGTTATGACTTCCAAAAGTTTGCACATAATTAAGTGCGCAACCTGCGACTTGGCTATTGGGTCGAATAGGTCAATGGTTGAACCGCCCAAGTCAAACGATTTTTAACCAAAAGGGGGGAGTTTCAACAAAACAAAACCTAGAATCAAGGCCAAGTGATAGTTCAAATGGTTCAATCAAGCAAGTCAACAACAAGTTGAAAACATTGATTATAAATAAGAAATGTTTTAGATATATTTTTCTCATCATTAAATTCTACTAATTAAATCCAGGACATTATTTTTAATAATATAAAAATAGAGCTATCTCCACCCCAGAGTCGATTAACCCCTTTTGCCTAAAAAATAATTTGAAAACAAAACCATTTTCTTCCCTCACCGTGGTGGGTAAGCAATTCAGCCATTTGGGGTTAAATCTGTTAATAAATAATGTCATAATCAAATAATAAAATATTAAAATAAATAAAGTATATAATACAAAAAAAAAGAACTGGGCATGTCCTTAATATTGTATATTCATTATATTAAAAAAAATAAGTATGAAATGTAAGAAGTATTTTTGTAAATGATGAAAATGTAATGCCAAAATTAAAATCAACCTAGAAATGAAATGATGTCATTGTCAAATAATAAAATTTTTAAAAATAGAAAATACAAAGAATCACAAAAATAAATATTATACATAAGATATAGTTTTATAAATAATGGAAATGTAATACAAAATTTAATGTCAACCTAGAAATCAAACTATTTTTGTTTTTGGGTCATGGGTTAGTCATTCAGGTCAAAAGGATTAATCGATGATATAATAGTTAAATAATAAATATTTAAAAATAATAAAAAAGTACAAGTAATTAAAAGAATATATAAAAAAATTATATATTAATTATGTCAAATAAAAATTAAGTGTGATAAGTAAAAATTGTATATAATGTAGATGAAATATATAATTGAAAACTGATTCGAAAGCAAAGCTATTTTCTTATTTAAATGGTGGGTCAATGGTCCAACTTTTCAAAGAAATTCATGATGTCATAATTGAATAACAAATATTTAAAAAAAGATAAAATACAAAAGATAAAAAGTATAAAGTTTTGTCAAAAACATTTCGGAACATTTCTAATGTTATATAATCATCATATTAAATAAAAATAATTGTAAAATAAAAACTATTTTCAT